TGCACTGGTTATTTGTATGGCAGGAATTGCACAACACTTGTATATGCATCCATATATACACAGATAAGTACATGTCTGTTGCACTAAGTACCTTAACACTCAGGCACTCCTTTTATTTTTGAAAAAGAAGGCTTTGAAATTTTTCACACTATGATGAACCTACTTTGTGCTCTGCAGGTGAAACAGCATCAGGTCTGGGACAGGAGAGGGCAGGTGCTGCCTCCAATCCTCAGTCGCAGGTTCAGCTCCTGTTTTCAGAAACCTGGTGCCTTCTGCTAAAACAAAACACCAACTCTTTGCAGCTTCGTATTTCAGAGTGTGAAAAGAGAAAACCCTGAACTGCAAACCACTTGCTCACTCTTGCAACTTTAAGGTGTCCATAGTGAGTTTGGGGGTGCAGTACAGGTGGATGCTAACCCTTGCACTTTCCATGGTGCCCAACTCCTTGGGGCAGTGCTGTTGGGATCACGAAACTCCCAGGACACAGGTGAGCTGGGGAGAGGAAAGCTATTTGCCACTGAAGTGCATGGCAGTAAAGGGGCCTGGAAGAAAAATTTCCTTAGAGCATTCAAAAGGTTTGTAATATTTGGGAGTTTTACTGATGTCAGAGGCTGTTTTCCCATGGCTAAAATGTTTCTTTTGTTCAGATTGACGACAGCAGCAATTCCGTCACAGGTTTTTCCTCCCTGCTGAAAAAGGCAGAGAAACACAATCAAACTCTCCCAGCCTCACCACGCACTTGGCAAGGAGTGATTCCTGTCACTGAAATCCATCACAGGGGGCACAGAAGAGACAATCCCATCGGATTGCTTCTTCCACAGATATTGCCATTTTGCTAAAGACAAATAGGGGCCAAAGAGTTGAAGCCCTGCAGCCAGCTGTGGCACTCAGCCCACCATGGGAAGCCCAGGGCGCTTGGCTGTGCTGCCAAAAAAGACACTGCTGGATGGAGGACCCGTGCTCTGCCCGTTCGAAGAGTCTCTGTTTCTCCCACCAAAGCCAGGAAAATAAAGGGGTTGAATAAATGCAGTTTGCATGCCGTGGCCACCCCAAGTCCAGCTGCTACAGCCACTCAGCACTGCTGCCTCCCACCGCTTTGGCCACACCAGCTACTTCTTAAAAATAGACTTTTTTCTTCTTGGAAAGGACAAAAAAATAAACAAGAAAGCCTTCTTTTAAGATGATGCAGACTCATGTTTTCACAAACCAAAACGCAACCAAAAATATCTGCTTTAAACCCCAATGCTGATTCCTGGGGGCCACCCCCAATGTACAAAAAATGCCATGTGGGTGGATAAGAAAAATGCATACATTGACGTGGACATTTTATATCCTTGCCTAACCCACTGGGAAAGCTGGCCCTTACAACGTCATGGCACAATCAGCCCAAAACGGGATGCAGGAACACCTCCAGTGACGGCAGAGCCAGTGGCCAACCTTCCCAGCTGCTTTTCCTGTCTCCCTGACAGCAGCGAGCGGGAGCACTCCCCTCGGATGCTCACTGTGCACAAGCATGTGCTGTGAAAACCGAACACAAGGGCTGCTGCTAAAAATGCCTTAAAATGCTCAAAGTGAGCATCTTTTGGCCATGCTGTCTCTGGCCATCCAAAACCTCACCCCATGAAGAACTGCCCGCCACCAAGTCCCTCCAGATGGCAAGCGGGGTGGCCCCGCTCACACAGGGATGAACAGCATTTGATGGGGATAGCCCAATTACCATTAGCATCCACAAAAACCTGCCCATCCCCGCAAATATGTGCTGCCAGGTTCTGGTCACGTCCCTTCATGGGGCCAACATGAGCAGCTCCCTCGCTGTGGCCAGGCAGGAAGTTTCCCCAGCAAAGGGCTGAGTTCCCCGCCCCCCCCCGCCATGTTGCCCAGGAGGGACGGTCCCGTGGGAAGCCATTCCGGCAGGACTGGCAGGCAGCAGCCAGCTCTGGCAGCAGCTCCCTGGCCTTTGGGGAGCAGCCAGCCAGTGGGAGGCAAATTTTGGGTCTTGCTGGCGGGGATGTGCATGCAAATGCAGCACGTCCCTGGGAAGGCACGCGACGGGGATCCACGTGCAGGGAGAGCGCAGCCGGCTGCCCCTCCAGCACAGAGTGCTGCCTGCTCTGTTTGCAAGGCACATAGCCCTCCTGCTCAAACAAAAGCCAAGTCAGCTCAGTTTCTCCTCTTTGTGCATGAAACAAGAGGAAGATGTGCGCTCACTGTCCCCTTCCCCAGATGTGCCATGCTGCTGCTCGCCCCAGTGCCACTCACCCAAGGATGAGGACAGACAGAGGGTCACGCACAAACTGCACGAAGCAGTTTCACAGAGCCTGTTTCAGCCCACCCTCACAATGTCTTGGCTGTCCTGCTCACGGGCTGGCCTCACTGCAGACCTGTGGGGGAGCCCTCACTTCCCTGGAGGGACCCGGGAAAAAAACTCTTAGTCCCCATCCCCACCAGTTGTCCCCACGCAAACACCACCTCTGATGGCCCTGGGGATGCGACCCAGCTGGGCAGCAGAGCCGGCACCCGAATGTTGTCACTGCCGGAGCGGCAGCACCGCTTGCTGGACACGAGAGAGTTCACAGCCTCGCTGAGGAGCCAGCAAACACATCATTACTACAATTTTAAACCAAAGCGACAGCCCTTTTTGTACCTCTGGGCTGCAGCCAAACCCATGCTTGCTGTCTCTCACCCGAGCGACGGGGCTGTGCACCAGCATTTTGGTACCCACAACCCTGACAGGTACCATCACCGTCCCAGCATCCCCAGCTCCTCACGCAGCTAATGCAAGGGGTCCAAGAAATAAGGGGCAAGCCATAGCAGAGGTATTCACTGTGAAGTGGGGACCAGTGGGGCAGAAGCTGCACTTTTCAGAGCTGATCTCATACAGAAGTAGAAAAAGCTTACACAGAGTGTAAATTGAAACATAAATTCCACTAAAACCAGGAGCTGTTCAGCTCCCAGCTTTTGTAGTGATGGAAAGAGTCTACAAATTAAGGGCGGTTTTGCCATAAGTACTAAAAAGTTATTTCATTTCTTTACTGGTTCTTGAATTCGGTATTGCAATGCCCAGCTATGACACTGCTGACCCAAAGCAGCTGAAAGGCACGCACCCACTCACACCGCCACCTTGGAGACTGTCTGCTGCAGAGCCACAACTCCATGCCGTAAAACTGTGCAGCTACACAGCAGCCCACAACTTCCTCCGTCAGCGTCAATACCCGTGCTGTACAGCTTGTCATACACACGTGAACAAGTTAAGAAGGGCCTGGATGGGATTTTAAGCAAATAATGTGCTGTTTACTTGCTTGCTGGTAGGAGAAAAAATAATAAAAGGCACACTGAGTAAAAGAGGCTTTACCCATCATCTACCAGCCCATGATAACCCCTTTTACCCTGCTCACCTGTGTCTCTGCTGCAGGGAACCTGGTGCCAGGGGCCACATCATGGGCACCTAGAGCCAGCGGTCCAGAAGAGACCCCCATGCCCTAGAGCATCCCCTTCTCAGCATCTCAGGAAGAACAGAACAACCCCTACTCAAGTTGCAGCAGGTGTTGGCTATAATATATCAAAGCCCCAGGTCCAGCTTGTTGAGATCATTAGCCAGCTTTTCCACCCTACTTAGAGGCAGGGGTGAGCCTTGGGGCGCCTGGAAAGAGGGGGGTGGGAACATCCCTCAGCCTCTGCTTTCCCCCTCACCCAAGCATGCTGTGGTTCCCCATGCAGCCTGCCCTTTTCTCCCCAATCGCTCCAGCCAGACCCCAAATCGCAGCACCCGACTCCCCTGGGAAAGAAAACCAGCAACACCTCAAAATCACACCCCTGTGGAGTTTGATGGTTTTAATGGCAATTAAAGAGATCAACAGGGTACATTTCAGCTTTGAAATACAAGTGCAAAAAGGATCCAATATAATGCTTTCTGTACATTTCTTACAAAATATTACATACATCCCATACTGAAGTGGTACTTCACACACCGCTGAGCCCACGCACAGCATGTGCACACCAGCTGTAGCTTTTCCTCCTTATGTGCAGGACGTGGAGCTAATGGAAGGCTCCCGTTGGAGTCTGGGCAGATGCTTTTAGGGCAGTGGTAGGTAAATACAAGGGGTAAACACAGACTACAAGGGGTAAACACAGACACCTTTCTGCCCAGCATGCACAGGCACAGCTCCTGGAGTGCCGAGCCGCCACTGTGCCTTTGTGGCAAGCGGGCAGCATCACCCTGCTGGCACCCACAGCTCTTGACTGCTCTCTGGTTTGGTATAGGAAGTGCCTTTTCTTGCTGCGGTTTGGCGTTTTCCCTGTGTCTGGCATCACCTCCCACTTAGTGCCCTGGGTAGCATGCCGAGGTCGAGCCCTGGCTAACTCGCCTCCATTTTATCCACAGCATCTTCTCAGGAAGAAGTTAGCCAGGATATATAGCAAATAAATTAAACCCCTCCTCCCCTTATACCCCCCAGCACCGATGAAGCTGTGAGACACGCGTCAGTACCCATCCTGGCAGTCATTGTCATCGTAGTCGGCAGCAGGCTTGTTGCGGTAGGCACCCGGCCGCCGTTTGCGGCTCCCACTCTCCAGGCTCTGCAGCGAGCTGTCATCCCCGTGGCTGCTGGACTCACGGGTGGCATCCTCCTGGGAGTGGCTCTCATCATCATCATCATCCTCCAGGGACTCGCTGTTGTTGCTCTCTGTGGATCTGCTGTCCTCGCCTGCATTGTTCTCTTGGCTGCCACCATCCTCTGGGGATGCACTCTGGCTCTCGGCTGATGTGTTTGGCATGTCTCCATCAGGGTCGGAGTCATTCTCATCCTCCTTTGACTCCTCCACAGTGTCCTCTGTGGACTGGGTCTGGTCGTCATCATCTTCCTCGGACTTGCTCTGGTCACCCTCGTCTTCTCCAGACTTGCTGTCAGGTTCAGACAGAGCACTCCTGTCCTCAGCAGACTCCTGGTCGTCCTGCCCTTCCTGGGACTGGCTGCTGCTGCGCTCGCTAGATGTGCTCACCATCTCCTGGGAGATGTCCTCCGGGGACTCTCCCAGCTTTTCATCTGACTGGTCAGTGGGGCCCTCCCTGGACTCGCTGCTGTCTCCCTCCCTGGAGGGGCTGTCCTCCCCATCCACATCCTCCTCAGAGCGGCTGGCGCTGTTCTCTTCTGACTGGCTGGTGACAGGCTCTTCTGACTGACTGTTGTCCTCCGTGGACAGGCTGTCTTCTGAGTCAGCATCCTCCACCTCTGGGGACCTGCTGTCGTCCTCTTCCCAGCGGTGGGAGCCAGCCCCCCGGCCACTCTCTCGGCTGCTCCCAGGGGCACGGGGGCCAGCACGGCGCCTCTTGTAGCTGCTGCCTGTGTTGTCGAAGACAGACGGATCATCGCCCTGCATGGCTTCGTCCTCAAAGTCATAGCTCTCCTCCTCCTGGCTGCTGCTGCTGCTGCCCCCTCCCCACCTGTAGGTCTGCTCGTACCGGCTGCCGAGGTAGTTCCTGTACTGCCGGTCCGGTGGTCCGCCCCAATGCTCTCGCTGCTGCTGCTGCTGCTGCTGTCGGCATGCCCTCCGCCAGCCCCGGCGTCCCCATGGCCAGCGTTGTGGCTGTGTTCACCTGCTCCGTCAGCACCAGCCACGTAAGTAGGACCTTCGCCCCCCTCCTCTTCCCCATTCTCATCAAAGGTGTCATCCCCACTGTCATCTTCTTCATCCAGGAGCCCGCCGGCATGGGAGGGAAACCCATTGATGCCAGTGATGTGGTGCTCTCCGTTGTCACCATCATCAGCATTGTGTGCATCTTCCTCCTATGGATGTGACAAATGGAGACAAATGCAGAGCCTGCAGGTCACAGGTGCTATCGGCACTGCTCACCGCACAGGCCAAGCACTACCCTGACCAACACCAGATCTGGGGCTAAGCGGGCTTTCCTGGCAGATCAAAACACCCCTCTCCACTCACTCACCAGGAAACCAAGGCTGTTCCCACCCCGGGCACTCGTGTCCTTGTAGTCCACCTGGTTCAGGCGCTGAGCCTCCCCAACTCTGCCTCCCTTGTCTCGGCCACCATGCTCGCTCAGCTCCTCGCCCACGGCGTTCCCCCCTGCTGGGTCCCTGGCAAGGGCATTGTCCCCCCTCTCCGCACTGGCAGGAGGATGTCTGCCATCTCCACCACCCAGGAGGTTGCCCGGGTTGCTGATGTAATCTTCGCTTCCTGTGTCCTGGAGGCAAAACATGACATGGTGCTTTGGTTTACTAAACACCACTGCATGTCCACTGCTACTGCTGCAGAATGATATATTGCTCCTAAGCCATGCGACTGCTCAAGCCTTTTTTATTGCTTGCACCTCAGCCCCTCAGTTGTTTTTGCTATTGCAAAAAAAAAAAAAAAAAGCAGCCCCCAACAAAAAGGCAGCCCAGAAAATCCCAAACTGTGATGGTTCAGAGCACAGAAACTCCCTTTTCAAGACCAACACAGCAGAACACATCAGGTGAATTGGGAACATGCACAGGGAGGCAAGGCGAAATGAGATTAAACCAACGCAGCTTGAAAAGACTCAGTAGATGGGCAAAGCTCAAAGACCCACAGAAGCAGCAGCTCTTTCCCCAGGTGCCAGGTCCAAGGATGCCTGCCCAGGGATGGCTCCCCATCCCAGACTTGCTCCACGAACAGCTGCCACCTGCGGGACTGGGACACCCCTCAGCTTACCTCCTGCTGGATGCTGCGGCGGGGGCGGGCGGGCTCATGGCCGGGCACCTAAACACAGCCAGGAGACATCTGATCAGTGATCGGTACACCTTGGCTGGGCAAAACCACTGGGGTTTGGGGTTTGAGTACCTGTCCAGTGGTTACTTACCGGGTGAGCACAAGCTACGGCCCAGAGGAGCAGCACCAGGAACGCAGCCCTCATGTTGGTTGTGATCCCTGTGGCTGCAACAGGGAACAAAGTATTTGCACACTAGAGCAACACATTTGCACATGCCCCTGGCTGTAACTTGGCCCCACAAAGCTGTTCCAACTGATACAACCTTGCTGTCCCAGCACATGGTGGTCAGCCTGGCATGCCATCAAACAAGCCAAGGATTTGTCCTCGTGCCACCTCCTGGCATCTCCTGTGCAGGAACCTCCCTTTAGTTTGGGATTTGAAATACCTGGCCATGTTCTTGCAGATTTTTTGTCTGAGCATCATCAAAGAGTGGGAAAGCTCCTCTGAATTCCCTGTTCCCATGGTAACGTCACCTGCCACCCAGCCAATCTCGGTGGCCGTGATGGGAGCTGGCACAGCAGATGAGCAGCACCATGAGACCATGGGCTGCAAAGCTGTGCTTTCCACCCGGTGCGGACCCCACAGCCCCATAAAACCTCCTGCCACCCCAACTTGGAGCACCCCAGTAAGATAACCCTGCAGAGAGTTATATCCCCAGTGGCCGCTGGGTCAGTCTGGCATCCCAGCGGCTCTGCTGCCTACGCAGGCAGGTAAAGCAGCAGGGGGCTTTCCTCCAGCTTTGCTCTCATTTTCCAAGTCCCTCAAGCAACCCAGCACCACATCCCCATGTGGCATGCTAACCGCACTGCACATTACCCTGCACCCGAAAGACGCTGGGGCATGCTAACCGCTCTGCACCCGGCACGCGCTGGAGCAAAGAGCCACGCTCCTGATTTCTTCCCTTATGAAGCAACACCTACATCCCAGCTTACAAGTGTCTCCTGCTTTCTACCAAAAATTAAAAAGAAATCTACGAACCTTGTCCCTAAATGTTGCCATTTTCACCCCAGGCAATGCCAAAGCAACCCAAAGAAACTAAAACATTTACCTTGAGGCGTGGTGCAAGCCGGTGTCTCCTCTGGTGCTTGGGATGGGGCGAGCTGTCTGGCTGTGTTGGGATGCCCCGGGCTGTGTGTCCTGGCGTGGCCACACGGGCATTTAACTGCTAGCCAGCGCCAGCCCCGGGCAGGGGGCAGCCAATGGCACTGGCGGGCAGTGCTGCCGTGCGCGGAGGTGTCACCGGGAACTGGCCTCCCACGCTTCCTCCGGCCTCCGCTGGGATGCTGGCCCTAAAAAAGCTCCTTGTGGTTGCAGGATGACGAGATGGGCTGGTAGTTAATGACCGACTGCGCTGGCCCTGTGTTTTGACTGCTAAATTTATTCCGTTCACACACTTCCCGCCATGACACACACAAACAACTACGATGTTGCCCACGCTGAGCACCAGACCCCATCCTGAGGATGGCATCCTCCTAACGGGTGCACTTGGGAGCAGTATTTGCCCCGTGCCATGGGCCAGGGTGCCAAAACCCACGTGGGATCATTCCCCTGCTGGGACTCAGCCCTCCCCTGCGCCTTGGGGCAGGAGCACAAAACGCCATGCCAGAAGGAGAGGACGTGCCTTTTTCCATGGACACACACGCACTAGTGCAAGGGAGAAAGGAAACGCTAAATGGAGGTGTGCAGGGAGGATCCCACCCCCTGCATGGAGGGAGTGTAGCACCCCCAATGCTTCTTCCAGCTCCTGGCCAGGGAGGAAACCTCTGCTCAGGAAAACACAGGCAACAACACCTGCACATGTGAATGGGCATGTATATGCATGAGCACGTACCTGTAATTATATATATGAATACTTATACACACACCACATGTAGCCCAGGGTTTCTTGGTGCAGCATGGATTATTCCCCCCAACCAAGGCAGTAAGCCAGCAGCTCAGATAGCCCCTGCTTGCTCACAGCTAATACGAGCGGGACTTTGCAAACCTCCAGGTGCGCACACCCTGACGCACCGCCACCGCAGCTCGCTGCCCGTGCGGCTTAGGACAGGACCAGCACGCCACAGCCCTACACCTGGCTTTTCCCTCTGCCCTGGCCTGGGCAGAAGGAAGGCGACTTCCTTGCCTGGTTTTGGCCATTGCTAAGTCCTCCGTGCCCGCAGCATCCCTTCTCTGCTAATAAAAACACGCCGCAAGTGCAAATAGGTTGCCTTGAAGCAGGCAATGTGTCTCCGCTCTGCAAGCTGGGTTCTCCCCACAGCCAAGCTGTGGCCGATGGGCACACGGCCACGGGGTGAGAGGTGTGAGGGTGTTGGGAGGAGGGTGCCTACGGGTGTTTCACTGGGGGGAGGTGTAAATGAGGGCATTGATGCTCTGCGAGGAGTGCATTTGCACGTCCTCCCTGGGTGGGAGGAAATGTTTCTGCTGCCCTGGGTAGAAGAAAGAGGCCTTCAGACAGCAGAGCCCCGCTCCGGGGAGCTGCCGTGGCAGGGGAAGCCAGTGAAACACAGTTCGCCTTCAGCAGCAAATGGCTCCTGGCCTGCCCGGCTGTAAAGGCCTGGCAAACTAGTCACTGGCAATGGCCCCTTGGTGCAGGGACCCAAATTCCTAGAGGTGGGGGGCACAGCCCAGGGGATATGGTGATGGCTGCACTTTTACAGGGATTCACAGGAGACGCTGGTGCTGCAATTTAAGTGACTTAAGGAAACTTGAGCAGGGTCAGGATTGAGCCAGGGCTCTGTAAACTGCACATTATGTGAATTTGCCCAGGATGTATCATCTGCAAACAAGAGCATCCAGAAAGCATCTCTCCGTGCTGTGACACCAGCGTGGCTTGACAGAGCATCATGTGAGACCAGACATCAGTCTGCTGTTGTGGATAACTGCTTAATTTCATCCTCCAAAATCTGCTGCCTTTTATTAGGGTGACAGAGCACTGGCACAGGCTGCCCAGGGAGGTTGTGGAGTCCCCTTCTCTGGACATTTTCAAGACCCGCCTGGATGCAGTCCTGAGTAATGTGCTCTGGGCAATCCTGCTTTAGCAGGGGAGTTGGACTACGTGATTTCTAGAGGTCCCTTCCAACTCTGAAAATTCTGTGATTCCGTGATTACCAGCCAGGGGACCATGTGCGTCTGCCCTGTGAGGACTGTGCATGGGCCACACGGGTGTCAAGTGCGGCCAGCATCTTTTCTCTCCTTCCTCCTGCCCCCCGTGCAGGGAGACCATGGTGCCATGCCAGCCCTGCTGCTCTCCCCACAGCTCCTTGGACTTGGGATGGGCACCATCAAGTTGCTCAGTCTCACACACTCACACACCTTCAGCAGATGTTTTCCCTCATCTTCCCTACCCCACCCCTGCCGCAGATACTGTGGGACGTATTTTCCTCTTGACCTGCAACAAAATTATACCTCTGTCTCCAGCCAGATATGAGTTCACATTGCCAACCTTTTTTAGGCACCTTCAACAATTACCATGTTTTGTTGTTTTGGGTTTTTTTACATCAAACCTGCATTTAACTCAGTCCCCAAAGACTTGGTGCTGCCTCGTGTCCAAGCACTGCTCTGCGAGAAGGGGATAAACACCAAGCTGTGCATACCCAGCTTTTTTATAACACAGGTTACAACCAGAGGTGAGAAATGGACTGCGGGTGGGGGAAATGTCTGTCTAACCAGTGTTTTAAATGCCACTGAGCATTTCCCCAAGTCCCACCCTCCCAAGATGCTTGGTCCCTGGAGATGGCTGGGATGGGAAGCAGCAGGGCAAGGTAGATAGGGGAAACCTGGCCAGGCTAAAGCTGGCACCCTCAGGCTACCAGGGAGGAGGTGGCTGAGTCAGAGATGAGACAACTGGCAGGGCTGGTAAAAAGATGCAGGAATATCACTTTTCTGTTTGACAAGTTGGGCTGTGCGGTGTTCATGAGAACAGAGAAAACATATGAGCACAGACAGCAGGAGGGATCAGAGACGCTAAAACCAAGATAGAAGTTGGCACTGCAGAGAGCGAGCTGACGGTGGAGGCACATAACAGCTGCTCTCCTCCTGCAATTGAGATATCTCAGTATTGAAAACTCACGAAATAGATATTTTTCAAAAAAACCCCACCATTCCCTCTTTTTTTTTTTTTTCCCCCAGTTCACGGTATTTTCATAGTATTTATGTTGCTGGTGCACTTCCCTCCTAATTATACCTATGGGTTTTGACAGCAGAATCAAAAGTAAAAGGATCATCAATGAACGAACTGGAGCAGAAGAGACCAGGATGACAGCAGGGCTCAAGGCACACGTCCTCAGCCCTTTCGCAAACACTCAACACCAGCTCCTGCCTTATGTTCAGATCCAAAGCCAAATCCCTTTGCTGAGCACTTACTGGTGACAGGTGCTACAATGCAGTGCTGCATTTCCAATTGGGAGGAAGAAGGAAAAACCTTGCCTCCTAAATATTCATTTCCCCAATACGTGCCATGTTAGCACCAGGAACTACCCAGTGCCCAAAGGATTCATTCCCACACTGCTCCTCTAAAAAAGGGTGCTCAGCCTTGCAAACCAGTCAGGTTCCCACGTCACAACCTGCTTTGCAGGTGGACAGACCGCAGCTGGTGGCTGCGGGTGCAGGAGGGGGAAGCAGCCTGATTTGGGCTCCTCCGCACATGCAAAGGATCTGAGCAAAGGCATCGTGCCTCTTCTCTGAAGTCTGAGTAAATATTACCTGTGTTTCATAGCATTAATGTGACACGCAATGCAGTAGCTAACGACAACATTTTAGGTGTTACTGATACTTCAACTCCTCCCAGCAGCAAGCCTCAAAGTTACAAATGCTGTGATATACGGCAGATGGAAGTTACCATCATGTTTTTCACAGTGCAGAGGTGTGCACAAGTTTGGTTTGCTAAGCCTTTAAGATTTGCTATTTCTCCTCAGTAGGAAAAAAACCACATCATAGGAGCCTGCATCCTGGAGCCCTGAATTACAGACAAACACAGGGCCCCCCTAATGCTAGACCCCTGCACGACACCAACAGCCCTCTCCCCTTGCCCCCTGACAGAGCAGGGGTAGGATCATTAACCCACCCTTAGATTCATAGAATGGTTTAGGTTGGAAGGGACCTTGAAGATCATCTAGTTCCAACCCCCCTGCCATGGGCAGGGACAC